TATTTTTCTAAATATATATTTTTATTTCTAATTTCTTTTTTAATATCATCCTTTATTTTATAGTTTTCTGGTATGTATTTAAAAATAGTAAACCATCAGCTGATCAGATCTGCCCAGGCATTAAAGATCCACTTTGAGCTATTTTAGTTGCTGTGTACTTTGTCATCAAGTACAAAAAAAGAATTTCATTTAACACTCAAGAATTTATTAAAGATAGTGACTATTCATTCAACTTCATATGAAGACCCAACTTATATTAATTTAAGCAACTTTCAGAATCTGCTTTGCCCAACTTTTCCGTTTAAAGTCATTTTAGTATTTATTTTCAAATCTTCCTCTCAAATAAACCTCTCATACAGTTATTCAAACTATTACAAAGTCAATAGATTAAACCCTTGTGAGCAAAGAAAATCATCCAGGATTAGATGATATAAAAAGAATATGGTAACTTGAATGAATGTGACAAGAACCACAGAAATGCGGTTTAATAATTTTTTAGGTTTGTAACATGTTTCTGTTAAATGCATGCTAACTGGGTTGCAAATCACTGCTAGTATTAGTGTTTTTGCCGAAAAAGATGCAAGTAAATATAGTTTGAGTGATTTGAAGTGGTGTGACCCGAATCCGATTGAGATGCTGTGGTATGACCATAAAAAGGTGGTTCATGCTTGAAAACCCTCCAATGTGGGTGATTTCTGCAAAGATGAGTGGGCCATAATTCCTCCACAGCGCTGTAAAAGACTTTTTACCAGGTATCACAAATGCTTGATTGCAGTCTGTTGCTGCTAAGGGTGGCTCAACTCAAGGGTGGGATAGAAAACGTCCTTTCAAAAAGAATATCCACTGTATTATTTATTTACCTTCTCCTTGTAAAAACAAATGGTGTTGCATTCTTAGAGCCTTTCAGCCGGGCCAGAGACTGCTCGTTCCCATCATTTCCTGACTCGCCTCCGCTGCCTGAGAAAGGCCAGACACCTTTGGCTTTGGATCCACTTCCTCCCATTCTCAGAGATAAGGCATAGTTAGTCTCAGATTAGAGCGTTCAGTCTGGTTGGTAGCCAGATGCTCAATTGCTTACCAAGGTCAGAACCTGAAAAGTGAAAGTACACAAATAAGTAAATTTCACTGTCTGGTGTCCGAGTGAACGGTTTACTCAGCTGCCAGCTGTTAAGACGTTGTTTGCTTACTGACTGCTGGCTCTATTTTAGTGCATAAACAACTCTGTTGGCAGAAAATGGCCAAGCTAATCTCAAAAACATCTAAGTATAATCTTGAAAGCTTGAAAGAAAAGGCAACTAGACTTATTTTGGGTATGAGATATTTCAAGGGGCTTCTTCAGCTCTATAAAAAATAAAAATAAATAAATAAAAAAAAAGGTGGAAAGTCCTTAAGAAATGGTTCTGTCATGGACCTACTATTGATCATATGAGTCATCACATGAGCCAAGGCGCAGAAACAAAATGTGTGGCTCATTTCCATCACTGAGGGTTAAGGTCGAATCTATTGTAAGGCCTTGCCTCAACCAATCATTTGACCCTACTGAGGTCACCTGAAGCAAGGTCTGAGTGGGGATTGAAGCGCTTGGAAAAAGGCTTCATTAAGTCATTGATAACTGGTGTGGTAAGCTCCCACCTCTGTTCAATGATGCCCTCCTTTACTCCTCTCTCAAACCATGTGTTCTTGGTTTAAAATATGAACATATTCATACAAAAAAGAGCGTATTTTGTTCTTTAGGTGCAGGTGTTTCTAAAAGAACCGCGCCCAAAGGGGGAAACCCCCACAATGAGTTCAACACCCGGGACTCTCCCTCA